AAAGAAAAGAAAAGAAACATAGCTTCACTCTTGACGTACGTACGTGTTCCCATTGTCCAACCCTGCAACGCGCTTGCTAAGCTACGAGCTTTAGTCATGGTTTAGTATTAGTACTTGGGATCGAGTGAGCCAACCCTCCACAGCAGAAAGGGGAGCACATGTGTTCTCAGCCATGGAAATCGTTGACTGTATGCTGCCGGTTGGATTCAGTTTAGTCTTTTGCGGATTGCGGTCATGCTTCACCTATGTATCATCGACTAACACATGGTGTTTTTTCTCTTTGGACCATCCAACTACTCTTTTTTTTTGAGTGAAAAAGAGTTTTATTTCATTATAATAGGGTTACAATCAAGAGGCAGATGTTCCTCTATACAGCGGCCCAACTACTCTTCTCGCCAACAGATTAATATTTCGACACAAACGCAACTGAGTAACGACTTTTCAAGTCCAACATGGAATTGTGGCGACCGCTAACTAACAAGTAACAGGCAGAAAAAAAATGCAATGGAGTCATATTCTTGTTGCAGAGAGATATACTCTGTTGCACGTTGTCCACGTATGTGGTACTCCCTCCGTCCGAAAATACTTGTCATCAAAATGGATAAAAAATGATGTATCTAGAACTAAAATATGTCTAGATACATCCCCTTTTGTTCATTTTAACGACAAGTATTTCCGCATGAAGGGAGTATGAGATTAGGTCAAGTTGCAAGTGGGACTAGAGGTGGGAGTCCCACTACAATCTACCTCATCCCAATTCAGTTTGATGTTGCAAAAGTGGGTATCCCAGCAAAATAAACTCAGATTATGTGGGAATAAGTGGGCATCCCACTTAACAGGCCAGCTGGGCTCCTTCGCTCCTTTAAGGCCTTGTACAATGGAAGGTGCTTAGGGGAGGTGCTTAGAGAAATAAATCAAGTTTTTCTTAAGCACCGATTCTTATTTATACCCGGTTTATTTTTCTAAGAACCTCTCATTGTACAAGGCCTAACATCGCTGAATTCAGACTCCGTTCACTCCGTCGTGGTCCTAGTGGAGCACGTCGTGATGTCCCATGGCTGGCCATGAGCAGAGATGATGAGAGCTTCCCGACACCAGCCACAATCGTGCTCTCTAAGGCCTTCTCCTTCTCTATAAAACACGAACTTAGGCGTGCGCTATCATAGTATTCGCTGAGTTCACGGGCTGGAGATAAGCGGACTTGAACCGCTGACATCCGCCACAGGGTAAACCACCGCCTCTCAGGCCTCCCCGACGGGTTCTACCATAAAGGCCAACGATAGACAATAACTCCCCCCATTCTGGCATCGAGCTATTTTGCCGCAGGACCTCCCCTACAGTATCATCACTGCAGTAGAGTTTAACCACCAAATTCGGAATGGATTGGTGTGTCTCGCTTTCTCTAGAATCTCTAGAAAAAAGAATAGCTCTATCCTCAGCTAGCCTGGACGTGGACACAATGATGGAACCGCTTCTCGTGCTCACTATGCTCCTCCTTGCGCACGCGGTGGCTGCCCTGGTGCGCGCCGCCGTCGCTCACCGGCAGCGCTCGCGGTGCAACCTACGGACTCCGGTTCCTCCTCCGCGTCATCGTCCACTCCAGCATCGGTGAGCACAGCTATGGCCCGCGCAGCATCCTCGAGTGCCGCAAGGACTCACCCACCCATGGGACGCGCTCAACGAGATGGACGCCTTCTTCGACGAGGCCATTGTGGAGCTATTCGTCAGGTCAGGCGTGGCGCCCGCGGACGTCGACGTGCTCGTCGCCAACGTCTCCCTCTTCTCCTCGGCGCCGTCGCTCGCCTCAAGGGTTGTGCACCGCTTCGGCATGCGCGAGGACGTCGCCGCGTACAGCCTCTCCTGCATGGGGTGTGGCACCGGTCAGGTCGCGCTCGACCTCGCGAGCAATGCAATGCGGACGGCCGGAGTCCGCGCTGGCCCTCGTGGATTCATCCGAGTCCATGGCTCCCAGCTGGTACGCCGGCACCGATCGGTCCATGATGCTGGGCTACTGCCTCTTTCGCTCCGGAGGGGCCGCCACGCGTCGCCGATGCCGGCCACGGCGTGCCAGAGCTGGCAGAAGTAGACATCGCTCTTGGCATCCACGGCGTACACTACGAGCTTCCACCCCCCGACCTGCTTCGGTGCCCAGATCCCCGACATGTCCCTGAACGACGGCGGCTCCTCGCCCTGCCGCGCTGGCGCGACGCGAGTGGCGTCGGTGCTGAGGAGGCCGCCGGGGGTGTCGCGGTGTGAGGAGGAAGAAGCGGGGGCGCGATGGCGGACTGACGGCGGCTGGAGCACACTGAGGCACCGTCATCTCTCTACTCGTTGGGGCATGACCTACCAGGGACAAGGTGGGCTCCCAATAGGATAAGTGGGTTAGCCTGATTATTATTTTTTTCCTTCCAATGGGATCCCACTAAAGCAAATTAAGTGGGATGGGCTAGTTAGTCCCACTTAATCCCACCCTCACCTGCAGCCTGAAGACTAGGTGCTACTCCCAACATTTCAATGAATAAGACACACACGCATTTTAAAACTCTACTTTGATCGTTCCGTTTTAAAATGCGTGTGCACCATATTCATTGGAATAGACGGTTTCTGTATCCAGCCTCAGCAAGGTCGGTCGAATCTGCGTCAGATACACACGGCATCCTATGCACTAGCACAAACTCAGGGATCCAATCGAGCAGAACTGGGGAAAATATTATGTATTGCATAAAAAGAAAATATCAATCTGTTGACGACCAGAATCTTCTTATACGGCCACCCCTAATATATAGTACAACCAAATTTTGTTTTACAGATATATTACGTACCGAAACGTTCTCTAACAGCAATGTGGGGGGAAAATCTAACAGACCATATAACTACAATGAATCATCTAGAAATCGTTGCATAGCCTAGGGTTCATTAATCTGTTTTTTTTATATACAACCGATACACATTAGAGCATGCAACCAAATTATTATTCTAATAGTGTTTAGACCAAACCAGGAGCCCATTTTTTCAGTTGGAAACTGAGTATGTTTTAGCACGAATAGGATGAAGACAATATAGAAGACTCGCGGGTATTAGATCAAAGGTGGCCACCTCAGCTTGTGAAACATGGATAACAATAACCTGAAAATAAAAGCATACGCATATGAATATGGACAGCAATAACCTCTGATAGGAGGTAGGACAACACTTAACCATGCATTGCGGAGAAACCTCTATCAGGCCATTGTCCACTGATTACTGTAAACGATAGCTTGATTATACAGAATTAGCTCACGAAAAGCAAGATGATTCACCAAAAGAAACAGAAATAAGTAACGAAACCAAATTACGTTGGCTGAACAGATCAAGCAGAGATGGGGCCTAGTATTTTAGCTCACCTACTTCTGGCCAGTACCCCGATAGATGTAGCAAAGACCCCTGATGCTCCTCCTGTCCTCCAAGCAGTAAGGCCGCGACTGACGGCAGCGACACACAGAAGGATCTGTGTATGGCAAAGAAAGTGAGTAAAGCAGCCTGGGCATTGGCCTGCACCAACCCAACCAAAGAAATGTGGCCAGCAAATCAAGGCAGACGAACAGTGAGCTTCTTTTACTGATAAGTTAGATTGAACACCATTAGAAAAACAATCTTATAAATCATATCGAAGCAATAAAGGGAGGTGCTTCAGTATTGGCTTCTATCTAAACTCTAAACAGGGGAACACCTAACTTCATGTGAAAACTAAACGGAAGGCACAGTATGTAAGGTTTTGACACTCTACAAACTATAGTAATGATCTGCTGATTAGGACAGACATCGATATAAAATGCTTATCTATTCCATGAAAACCTAAAGGCACCGCCACCAACAGTGGCAGGATAATGCTGGTTAAGTACAGTGTGATTCTAATGGTAGCGGAAAAACAGGGAAGAATAAGAAAGAAAGCAATTGACGAAAAGTTTGCAACCTGACTGATAAAATAATACACACGGATGCTTATATGAGATAATGGCTACATGAACTTTGCTCAAGGACTTGTTAAGCTGAAGGGATTCATTGCCCAATATAACATAAATGAAGTTGTCATGCACTTCAAATTTCGACCAAGCAAAAGTAAGGTGTACGTGAAGCTGAAATGAAAAAAGTCAACAACTCATGATAAATTATCTTCCATTGGACCATATTCTTGATGAACAAAAACAGAAATCCAACCAGATACAGTTTTTTCTTAGTTACCAGTTTGAAGAATGTGCTCCTGCTTTGCTGTATATCCCAGCCTCTTGTCATTTTTGTGTGTATTGTCAATGCAAATAATCTAAGAGCAATCCCAACCTGTTGTTTATCTGTTCCAGACCATGGTTTGTCTATCTATGGTTGTAGTTGCTAATGAGAAGAATAACAAGAGTTGCACAATTTTTTACCATGCATTTTGTAAAGGGTTTGGTTATCTCATCTGTTATGGCCGGTTTAGCTAGGCCCACCGGGCAATCTTAGTCCACAAGTTATCTTAGGTTAATTCTTATGCAAGTTATCTAGGTTATGAATATAGGTTGTAAGACTCTTTTTGGAATTAAGCAATAAGAATATTATTATCCCTATTGCCTGGCTCCCAGAGGAGCCGGAACCCTAGCCGCCTCTAACCCTAGCCGCCGCCGCCATCTCCCTCCGACGCGACGGCGCCCAGCCGCCGGCGAGCCCAATCATCGCCCCGTCCCACTCCATCCTTCCCCTACAACCTCCAGAGCAGATCCGGTAGGACCCCTGTTTCTACCAATTTGGTATCACACCATCTTAGCTGAGCTTGTTCAATGCAAATGAATTTAAACACGTAACTCTCTCACCCTACATTGATGCTACTGAAACTAAATTGACCTTCATAAAATACTATAAAATTGAATGGAAATGTTAATGTTGAAGATCAGCAATTCTGAAGTTTTCTTTGTTACCACAATTTTGACTGAGCTTCTAACAGCCAAAAGCCATATGCTGCTGCAACAGATCATTTGCATGATTCCTCAACGACGCATAGGTGTTTTCCGTAATCCATCCAACTTCAAAGCCATCTCCTGTGCCAGACTAATTCTTCCTCCCTCAATAAGAGCTTCCTTTAAATTACTGAAAAGCTGACCAGGTGGCCTGATCCCTTTGTCCAACATCTCCTGGAAATATACGCAAGCTTCTTCCAGCCTGTTCTCAAAGCATAACCCGTTGATCAATGCAGAAAACATGTGCATACATGGCAGAACACCCTTCTCCTTCATTTGGTTCCACACCTTCAAGGCCACATCAACCCTTTCATTACTGCAGAACATACTAACCATCATTGTATATGTGTTGAGCTGAGGTTCACAGCCATCCTTGCCCATTCCCTGGAACACATTATAAGCCTCTTCTATCTTCTGAGACTTTATAAGATGGTGAAGAATAATATCATAAGTCCGGGAATTTGGACCGATTCCACTCTTTCTCATCTCATCGACCATCTTGAAGGCATGCTGGAATTTTGAGGCTCTGCAGTAAGCCCCAACAACTGCATTACATGTAGGTACCTCCATGGGAAACCCACTGGCCTTAGAAAGCTCAAAATACTTCAAAGCCTCATCCAGCCTCTCCTCTGAGCCAAGCCCATTGATAAGCATGCAATACACATGAGGGCTTGGCATGCAACCATTGGCTTCCATCTCACAGAACACCTTGATGGCCTCATCACATTTGCCAGACTTGCAAAAGGAACTAATGAGCATCCCGTATGCCACGACATCAGGCTTCAGGCCTGCATCAAGCATTTCTTGGTACACCGACTTAAGCATCAGCAAGTCCTTCTCATGGCCCCAGCCTTCCATGAGGACAGTGTAGGTCTTCAAATCGGGAACAAACTTTCCGTTCCTCTTCATCTCCTTGAAGATGGCTTGCGCCTTCTTGACTTGCTTGGATTTGCTCAGCACGTCGATCAACCAATTGTAATCTGATAAGTCTGCTTTGAGCCCGAAGCCGGCCATCTTCTCAAAAGTCTCGACAGCTTCCTTGACCTTCCTTGCCCTGGCGTACCTCCTGACGATGAGCCTGAACGTGTCCTTGGAAAGCAAGCCGCGGCACCGCATGGCCTCCACCAGGCTCCAGACCAGCCTGAACTGCTTGATCTTGCCGAGCGCTTCGATGAGGTTGTGGAAGCTCTCCGCCGTGTACATGAAGCCTTGCTGCCTCTCCGCCCACCGGAAGAAGGCGAGGGCGAGGATGCCAGCGTTGCTCAGGTTCTTGAGCACCTCCGCCACGAGCTGAGGCGACACAGAGGCCCCGAGCGCGTCGAGGGCTGACGCAACCCTCGGCTCCGGCACGGTGGACAGCACGCGGCAGACCCTCTCCGCCTCCTTGGAGACATCGAGGCCTGGGCCGGGCACCACTGTGAAGTCCTGGTCCACGGCAAGATCGTGGGCGCCGGTGAGCCCCGCCACCTCGGAGACATCGGGGCCTAGGCCAGGCACCACGGTGAAGTGCTGGTCCACGGCGAGGTCGGGGGCGCCGGTGGACCCCGTCGCCGTGCAGAGCCACTGGCCGCGCATTCCTCCGAGCAGGTGGTGGGCGCGCGCGCGACATGGGAAGGCGGCAGGCGGCGGAGGCATCTGCTCGAGGGCCGTGCGAGCGTGCTTGGCGGGGCCGGTCGTCGCGGAGCGGAGCAGGTGGGCGGCCGCGCCCGCGCGGCGGAGGCAGCGCATCCTGCCTGGACGTGGAGCGTGGCGGCGACGAGAGATGTTTTGGTGGGGAACGATTTCGGAGGAGAGGGGAGGCGATCGACCTGGCCGGCAGCCGGGACCCCGGATGGATGTTTTGGCGAGGTCTGTGCTCCCGCGGCCACAAGGCGGATGACGGACGATGAGGCGGCGAGCCTGGGCGGGAGCTCCGGGGCGGCGCGGCGGCGAATCCTGTCGGTGAAGTGAAGAGCCGAGCCCGTCGAGGTGTATGCTAGAGCGTTTGCTGTACGGACAGACTTTACTTCCTGGTGCATACAAAATTTAAACTTAGCTGATCAAATTTTATCGAGAAAACTATTTTAATGTGGGCAATGCTGCGCGTCCGCCGGATGATAAATCTATAAGATAAGCCGCCTCAGCAACCGTCGGATGCCGGCCGAAACAGTCGTCCGATCTACCGTCTCAGCCATAAATCGATAAGATAAGCCGCCTCAGCAACCGTCGGATGCCGTCCGAAACAGTCGTCCGATCTACCGTCTCAGCCAAATGAAAACCTTTGCAACAATTAGCTTGTTACAGTCATGGCTTTGCAACAAGGATCTTGTTGTAAAGGTCCACCGAGACAGCACCACTGCCCCGTCATGGCCTAAGCGCCTCGGCCAATATATTAAGATGAATATCTTGATTTTTTTAGCAGCATATATGATAGAGTTTGGGGTTGTGTATTTTATAAGATGCATAAAAGGTGAAAGAGTTCCACCTTAATTTTATTGAGTGACCAACTTTCTTATACTCAGATAAATTTGAAAGAGATATGAACTGAGTATATTGCCTTCTTCTCTCTTTAATAAATTAGGGGTCCACATTCATCTTTTTTTTGCGATAAGGTCCCTATCCATCTTTGATTGCAAATGTTTGTTGATAGCTTACTAAGCTGACCACCTGGTAGGTCCACATACATCTTTGCATCAACAGTTTTGACTAACCCACCTTGTATATAAACTTAACAGGCAAGATTAATCTTCAAATCATATTGTTGTTATCACTAAAGCCCACTCAAGAAGAGAGTTGCACTTTCAGTTGCATAGAAACCTACCCTCGCCTAGTTGACTCGGTTAATCAAATGGCAGCTCTTCTTCCTCTCCGCTGGAATCGATACATCAATGGGATCTGCCATCCTTGATCACCCTTAGGCTGTGTTCGGTTAAGAGGGATTTAAAAAGGATTTGGCAGGGATTGAAGTGGATTTAATCCCCAACAAGTCAACAGAGGATAAGCCAGTTTTGATGAAGCCGGACTTGGATATTAACCAAATTCTTGTTGTTGGTAGTTGGTACCTCTGGTGGATTCGTCGCCAACACACTCATGATGGAGCAACACCCCCGCCAATGAGATGGCCTATGTCTGTTCTAGCAATTGCGAACAATTTTCATCGAGCAAATGAGAAGAACAGGGTGACAAATGAACAAAGATGGTTGAAACCCAGTCCAAAATTTGTCAAGTTAAATGTAGATGCCTCCTTTTATGCGGATGAGGGTGCTGGAGCATCGGCGGCAATCCTTAGAGATGAGAAGGGTAATTTTTTGGTAGCTCAGTGCAAATATATTCAGTATGCATCTGATGTAGTTACCTCGGAAGTTATGGCGATGAGAGATGGATTGATCTTTGCAAGCTCATTAGGATTCAACAGGGTGGAGGCAGAGTCAGATTCTTCAATCGTTATTGATTATTGCTCGGGACAGACAGAATGGCGGGACTCGGTTGTAGCAGTATTTGCAGAATGCATTGACGTGTCGTTGTCAATTGGGAAGGTTATCTTTAAACATTGTGCTCGTTCTTCGAATCAAGCGGCGCATGTGCTAGCTAGTTACTGTTTTTGTAACAAGATTTGTAGTTCATGGACTGATGAGCCCCCGGCTTGTCTAGTTTCCAAACTCTAGACGATGTAATTCCTATTTGAAATCAATAAAGCTAGCCATGGTGGCCTTCCCTCAAAAATAATCCCCAACAAGTCAAAACCTCTCCAAATCCCCTCCAATCCTCTTGTGGAGGGGTGTAACCGAACAAGGCCTTAGAGCATCTCCAGCCGCGCCCCCAACACGCCCTCCTCAGGCGATTTTTTCGCGCCGGCGCACAAAAATCGGCCCAGACACGCCCCCAGAAGCCCAATTTTCGCCGGCTCGGGCCGAATTTGGCGCGGCGAACCTAAGCCGAACCCGACGCGCTGGGGGCGCTCGGGGGCGCCAGGCGAAATAGTTTTGGCGCGAAAGAGCCGCGGGCCCGCCGAGTCAGCTACACTCGCCTCGTCGTCCTCATAACACCTCGGTTTCCCGTGGGAAATCAATGCCAAGGCTGTCGCCGGTCAGCCTTCTATTGATTCCTCATCACGGGGCGGCTCTTCACGGGCGGCGCGGTGACGCCTCACTCCCCGCCGCGCGTGCACACGTCTCCCTGGTGGCTATAAAAAGTGCCGCCCCCTCGCCGCTGGCCACAGACGTCGTGCTCTCTGCCTCTCTCTCTCCGCCGCCGACGAACCTCTCCTCTCTCCCCAGCCCAGCCGCGACAATGTACGAGCAGTTCCCCGACGACGGAGCGGCGGCCAACGGCTTGGGCCACCGCTCGCTGTACGCGGGGGAGGCACAACTGCTTTTTGAGGCCAACATCCTGGTGCCTCCAGACATGCGCGCTGGGCCGACAGGATGGAGGCTTAGCGCCGGAGGCGTCCCCGTTCCCTCATTGTCGGACGTCGGCGCGCCCCCCGACTACTTCGACCGTGTTCGGTCGTTGCTGGCCGAGGAGCAGCATGTCTCCCTGCAGTACGCCGCTGACAACCACGAGGCGTGGGCGGCGTACTTCCAGCGCCATCAGGAGCAGCGCCTCGCCTCCACCAATGGGGCGCCGATGGTGGAGGGCCGGGGGAACAGCAAGGGGCGACACCTGTGGTGGGCCGCCCCGGCCAGATGCTCCATGAGGTTCTCGCGTACCTTGAGGGCGGCAACAACCCGTCGCTCACATACCCGGTCGCCGCCTCAGTCCCCCGCCGCGGTGTCGGGCAATGGATGTCCAAGAGGTTTGTCTCCGGCTCGTTGTTGTGACGCCCGGATCGTTAAGCTAGAGTAACCCTCTACTAATGATGCCACATCACCACGATTAATGTGATTAATCTCACATTAGTTCAAAACCGATCCAAAATTCAAATTTAAAATAAAGTCAAACAATAAAGTTTTCAAACATTAAATCTAAAATGTTCTATATGTGCCAAATAATTCATAAGTAAATATGTTGAAGAAACCACTTTGTTATAAAATGCTTAAATACTTTAAAATAAATAAAACAGCAGCAAAACAATTATTAAAAACCTTTTATAATTTATAAAATATTAAACTACTTTCTATGGGTAACCAAATTGTAGTGGGAGTATTATATTTAGTAACGCGAACTTAGAGACTATTTTTATAGTTTATAAAAATAATCATAAAAGGAACTAGAAATAAAACAGAAATAGATAAAAAACAGAAACAACCATCCCCCTAGTGGACCTTGGCCTAGTTGGCCACAGCCGACCAGGCCGGCCCACTCCCCACACCCCCTGGCCTATAACCCCACACCCCCCAACCGAACCCTAGAACCAACCCAGTCCCCTACGATCTCCACCCTCTACCTCCAGCGCCGTCACAGGAGAGAGCACTCGACCCCCGATCCACTTCCCCACCCCTACGATCCCCTCTCTCTCCCGCACGACCCCCCTGTTGGGGAACGTAGTAATTTCAAAAAAATTCTACGCACACGCAAGATCATGGTGACGCATAGCAATGAGAGGGGAGAGTGTTGTCCACGTACCCTCATAGACCGAAAGCGGAAGCGTTATGACAACGCGGTTGATGTAGTCGTACGTCTTCACGATCCGACCGATCCAAGTATCGAACGTACAACACCTCCGAGTTCTGCACACGTTCAGCCCGATGACGTCCCTCGAACTCCGATCCAGCCGAGTGTTAAGGGAGAGTTTTGTCAGCACGACGGCGTGGTGACGATGATGATGTTCTACCGACGCAGGGCTTCGCCTAAGCACCGCTACGATATTATCGAGGTGGATTATGGTGGAGGGGAGCACCGCACACGGCTAAGAGATCCAAGGGATCAATTGTTGTGTCTATGGGGTGCCCCCTGGCCACGTATATAAAGGAGTGGAGGAGGGTGGAGAGGGCCGGCCCCTATGGCGTGCCCTGGAGGACTCCTACTCCCACCAGGAGTAGGATTCCCCCCTTCCAAGTAGTAGGAGTAGGAGACAAGGCAAGGGAAGAGAGAAGAGAAGGAAGGAGGGGGCGCAGCCCCTCCCCCTAGTCCAATTCAGACTAGGCCTTGGGGGGCGCCCAACCTCTCCTCTCTCTTTCCCCTAAAGTCCAATAAGGCCCATATACTCCCCAGCGAATTCCCATAACTCTCCGGTACTTCGAAAAATACCCGAATCACTCGGAACCTTTCCGATGTCCGAATATAGTCGTCCAATATATTGATCTTTACGTCTCGACCATTTCGAGACTCCTCGTCATGTCCGCGATCTCATCTGGGACTCCGAACTACCTTCACTACATCAATACACATAAACTCATAATATAACCGTCATCGAACTTTAAGCGTGCGGACCCTACGGGTTCGAGAACTATGTAGACATGACCGAGACACGTCTCCGGTCAATAACCAATAGCGGATCCTGGATGCTCATATTGGCTCCCACATATTCTATGAAGATCTTTATCGGTCAAACTGCATAACAACATACGTTGTTCCCTTTGTCATCAGTATGTTACTTGCCCGAGATTCGATCGTTGGTATCTCAATACCTAGTTCAATCTCGTTACCGACAAGTCTCTTTACTTGTTTCGTAATACATCATCTCGCAACTAACTCATTAGTCACAATGCTTGCTAGGCTGATAGTGATGTGCATTACCGAGAGGGCCCAGAGATACCTCTCCGACAATCGGAGTAACAAATCCTAATCTCGAAATATGCCAACCCAAC